AAGCTGGCTCCATAGATGGGGGGGGGGGTTAAATTAAAATCTCATGGTGGGTTTTAATTTCATGGACCATCTTACCTGCATTCATGACACAAAACCACAAATTTTAAACAGCCTTGGATGGTTAACATCCATGGCAGGCCTTGGAGCTCATTTTTCAACTTTCTTCTCTCTCTTTCCTGTGCAGATGAAACAAAAATTATCATGCCTGGTGCTCAGCCCCTCCAGTACCTTATTCATTATTACCTGGTAACAAAGGCATCTGATTGCCACACACACACATATTTCACAGGATTTATACACCACTTAATCATCAAACCCTCTAAGTGGCTTACATAAAATATGCATTAAAATTACTGAAGAAATCAGATTTACATGTCTGGGTTGACTTGCTTAAACAAATAAGTTTTTAGCAGGTGCTGGAAACAATACAGTGAAGGCAACCACTGAATATCAATGGGCAGGGAGTTCCAAAGCGTTATTGCTGTCACATATGAACAATTGCAGACTTTGGACTTTCACATTTCAGCAGCACCCTGTGCAACACCAAAATTCAGTGCCCCCTGCCTCTCGCCTTCTGTTGTTTGTCCTTCTTGAGGCACCCCCTGCAGTGTCCTCTCAGATCAGGGCCCAATGCAGGCGAAACAATCATGCTACCCTAAATCTGCCTCTGATATGAAGAATCAATTCATTGCTGTTGTGGAACAAACATTATGTGGTATTTGTGAAAGCACCAGTTCCTCAGACTGAAGTGGTTGGGTGGTTAGGTAGTTTTTGAAATAAAATGGTCTCAAACTATTAAGGGCTTCACATACCAACAGTAACTCTTGAATACGGCCTGGAACAAACCCCCCAGTCAGTGTAGGTCTCTGAGCAGTGGTGCAATATGCTGACAGACAAGCACATATTTGCACAATAGCACAAGTAATTAAAAAAATGAAGAGTGGCAAATCGCCAGGTCTTGACGGAATCACATTAATGTACTATAAGAACCTGGAAGAAGTAATCCTCCCTATATTACAAAGAATAATGAATAATATACTGGGAGGGAAAGATATACCACAATCATGGAAAGAAGCACTGATCACTCTAATCCCAAAACAGGGAGTGGAGTTGACAGACATGAAAAATTATAGACCAATCTCCCTGTTGAACACAGACTATAAAATCTATGCTGGGGTGATGGCTAATAGATTAAAAAAGACTCTAAACAAAATAATCAGCAGAGACCAGGCGGGCTTCTTATCGGATAGACATATAAAAGACAATACAAGAATAATAATTGATCTGTTGGAATATGTGGAAATGAAACCAAGTAAAAAGATGGCCATGTTATTGGTTGATGCAGAAAAAGCTTTTGATAGAGTATCATGGAATTTCCTATTGGAAACTTTCAAAGGTCTGGACATAGGGGAGAAAATAATTAATGGAATTAGGGCAATATATGATAACCAAAAAGCAAAAAGGGCGGTTCACAGCAATGCCTTTTAATGGAGTCGGTTCGCATATTCCACAGCCAAAAATCAAGGCCTGGCTTTTCATGCATATATGTTCATCATATCATTTCTTTATATTTGAGAACTCATTTAATGATGGCTGTTGAATGCTTTAAACGACTTCATTGAAAAGCAGGTATAAGTAGTAGCCTTAAGGGAAATGTGCAAGTGCTTTTATATCTATGATGGCCTGTCCACATATAGAAAAGACTACGTACTTAATATTGTATACTACAAGAATAGAGCATGCATGTGTGAACCAAACCCAAGTGTACAGCAATCCATGTGTGAACAAAGCTTTCCGACCAATAGCAAACTTGGGTGACAAACTGATATTTCCTTCTGCAAACGATTGTGTGCAAATGTGTGTGATCATTAACCTCTGGATCAGCTCCATCTTACCAACTTTTCTGCTCCACTCACTAAACTCTGGTTTCAACAAGGGGACAAATATATAACTTCACTGTGCGAGGAAGAAGAAGAAGAAGAAGAAGAAGAAGAAGAAGAAGAAGTGTCAAACTGTAACAGGAAAATTTCTCCCTCCTCTGCCTTGATTGGATAGAATCCTTTAAGGGTGGGGTAATTGCAGTTGCCTTCTTCATAGTAATAGGAACTACTTGGATCCATCCCTTGTTGGCTGCTGCATCTCTGCAATGATCAACTGTTCCAGCCTTGCCTCCTAATCACTATTGCAGAAACACAGCAGAATTACAGTGTTATCTCGGGTTACAGACACTTCAGGTTACAGACGCTTCGGGTTACAGACTCTGCTAACCCAGAAATAGTACCTCGGGTTAAGAAATTTGCTTCAGGATGAGAAATCACACGGTGGTGGCGTGGCGGCAGCAGGCGGCCCCATTAGCTAAAGTGGTGCATCAGGTTAAGAACAGTTTCAGGTTAAGAACAGACCTCTGGAATGAAGTAAGTTCTTAACCCGAGGTACCACTGTACTAGCACTTAGAAAAGTCTGCCTGTTTTGTCTTTGGATGAGCCACTGCTTAGGGAAACTACTGCCTTTCTTCACAAATTGTGCTTTCCCTTTCTCCTCCTCACCTGAAAGGAGCAACACTGTGGCAGGTTTTATTTATTTATTTAACACATTTATATTCTGCTTTTCAAGGGACATTCTTAGTCAGGTGGCAATTTACATTCATTAGATTACCTTGCATGCACATTGGGGGGGGGGGGGATCTTTGATAGAACACAAATTTCCTCCAGAAATGTTACAGATTATTGGAATAAATGTTATGTGCCAAAATTCTAACTAGTCACCACAAATAGTAAATAACAAGTAATTATACACATACATCAACCATCAAGCACATCAGTTCACCTTTCTACAGAATGGCACATTCCCTAGGCATGGTGTGCATTTTGCAGAGACAGTTGGAAGCAATATTCCATCCTAACTGGAGAAGAAGCTTAATTAAGAGTACTTTTGGGTGTCAGTCATCATGCCATCTTGTAGATCAATGTCCCCCCAAATTTCTGGTAGCTGATGCTCACTTTCTTTCTGAATAAAACCTGGAAGCACACTTCACTCTGCTCCAGATTTTTTCTTTTTGAGTCTACATAGGTCACTCTTCTGAATGTGCCTCCAACTGGAAGGAAAGATGCAGAGCTGCTATGTGCAGCCTCTTCTGCAGTTATCTCTGCAGTGAGAATCCAGCCATGGGCATAGCCAGGGGTTGCAGGGGGTCTGCTGCCCCTCAATCAAGTAAATAAATAACCTAATATCGAACAGGCAGCATAGTTAATAGGGTACACAACGGCCTTCTGCCCTGCCTCTGGCCCTTCAGGCAAGAGGGTCTGGGCATGGGGAGCACTTGTGCCTCCCCAGCCAGGTTTCCCCCATTTCTTTGGCTCCAATCTGTAATTTAGGCACCAGGAGAAAATGTTCCTCTATAACACAGCCTAGGGCCTTTAAAATGTGTTTGTGTGTGCGCGTACTGGTGTATTGGTTTTTCTGTTTGTTTGGTTTTGTTGTATTACCTATTTTGTCTTTTTGTTTTGTATTTTTATGCTGTAAACCAGGGGCCAGCAACCTTTTACAGCCGTGGGCCGGTCCACCATCTCTCAGACCATGTGGTGGGCCGTACTGTATTTTTTTGGGGGGTGGGGAAAATGAACGAATTCCTATGCTCCACAAATAACTCAGAGGTGCATTTTAAATAAAAGGGCACATTCTACTCATGTAAAAACACGCTGATTCTTGGACCATCCGTGGGCCGGATTGAGAAGGTGATTGGGCCGCATCCAGCCCCCGGGCCTTAGGTTGCCTACCCCTGCTGTAAACGACCCTGTGATCTTTGGATGAAGGGTGGTATAGAAGCTTAATAAATAATAATAAAATAATCTCGTTTCAGCTGTATGGACTCAATGATAAAAAGAGGGAGGGGAGAGGGAGGTCTCCACCTTCCCCCCCATTTTAAGTTCCTTCCATTCCATTCAGCTCTAAGTTGTTAGGGGGAAGGAAAAGCTGCAGTCGGAAAACCACCAAGCAGCAGATCCCCCAAGACACGGAGGGCGAAGAGCTGCAACAGACGTATTTTAATTTGTTGTTTCCAAATCTCAGTCTGTTCCAGCATTCTGGCGTTTGTATGTTTTCAAGTATAGCTGTGAATTTCTCTCGATTTTATTGTTTTCTCGCTTTGAGGGATTTGTTTGCTTGCGTGCGCTTTTCCAATCAAGCGGTGTATAAATTTCATGAACCAACCGAGCAGAAGAAAGCCTTCCCCCGAAGGACGAGAGGCCCCTCCCGGCCGGGAGTCCCCCGAGGGCCCGGCGCGACCCAGGCGCCTCCGTCCCGGCCCCCTTCACAAAGCGGCGCTCGCTCCGCCGGAGCCCAGCGCGGCGACGGGGCGGCGCCCCAGCCTCGAGCCAATGGCGCGGCGCCTCCGTTTAAATAGACGGGCCCTGTCAATCAGCTTCTCCTCCGTCCGCCTCCCTTCAATCGCCATATTGGGCCACTGGCTGAAAAAAAGGCTCGTCTCCCCCCCCCCCAAACACCCGCACAGAGCGAAGCCTTGACATCGGGACGAGGCTTTGGGCCAAAGCGCAGGATCTCCGGGGCAGGCGTCGCCTTCGCGGGGGAAGAAGCCCAGCTATTTGTCCGGGCGCTGCTGCTGCTGCTCCGCTCCCCCCCCGCCGCCTCCGCGATCTGCTTCTCCCCCCCCCCCCCGCTGGTGCACTTGGTCCGCAATAAGACATTCCGCTTGCCCCCCCCCCCGCGCCCCTCCTCTCCGCCTTTCCCCGCCTCTGGCTTATGCAAGGGCTGCTGGGCTGCTGCTGCTGCTGCTGCTGCACGGGGGCGGGCGGGGGGGGCTCTTCGACGTGTTTTTGTTTTGAAGTCTTCATCTCGGTCGGGCTCCGGTTTTAAACCCGCCCGCTGCGCTCTCCCCCTTCGCGCAAGAGCCAGGGCGCGGGGCTCGTCGGGATCGACCGATCGGCCGCCGGATCTCTCTCGCTCGCGGGCGGGCGGGCGCGCGGCGGGGACAGCTCCGGGCGATGTCCAACGTCCGCCTCTCGAATGGGAGCCCGACGCTGGAGAGGATGGAAGCCCGGCAGGCGGACTACCCGAAGCCGTCGGCTTGCCGGAGCCTCTTCGGCCCGGTGGACCACGAGCAGCTGGCCCGCGAGCTGGAGAAGCACGGCCGCGCGCTGGAGGAGGCCGGCCGGAGCAAGTGGAACTTCGACTTCCAGCGCTGCCAGCCCCTGCAAGGCAGGTACGAGTGGCAAGCCGTGGCCAAGGACGCCCTGCCCGACTTCTACAGCAGACCCCCCCGGCTGAGCCGAGGCCGAGCCAAGGCCGGCAGCCCGCCGCGCCGGGGGGGCTTGGATGGCCGCGGCCCCGCGACGGCGCTCCGGCGCGCTCAGGGAATCTCCGAGGAGGAGGAGGAGGAGGAGGACGCCGCCGCGCGGCGGCCGGAGCAGGAGACGGGAGCGGCGGGCGCTGCCACCGATCTAGGGCGCCAGAGCCCCGGGCCGAGGAAGCGACCTGCTGCGGACGGTAAAGTAGCCACTTGCTCCTCTCTCCTGCACGCAAACAGGCCAGCTCGGGGTTGCATTGAGGAGGAGAGAGCTGCCCGTGACCTGCGTTGCAGGATCCGACCCAAGGTCCATCTAGCAGCAGCCGCCAGCCAGGTGCCGCTGGCAAATCTTTCTGTTTGCTCCCAGCGCCTGGCAGTTAAACTACCGGTACTTCGAAGTATGGAGGCTTCATTAAGCTAACTCCTGGGACTCCGCTGATTTGTTTTCTTCTTTTTAAAGCCAAGCCAAGCAGTTAGCTGAGGGAAAGGACATCTCTTTGCTTCCAAATGGATTTTATTAGGAAGTGCACCCTACTTACTTGTTCTTGATCGGTTGTATCCTACCCTTCCTCCAAGGAGCTTAGGGCAATGCACTTTGCATTACCAGTTATTTGAGGCACTTGTGTTAGCTGTGCTTTTTAAAGGTTGCAGTCCTCAGGATAGTTGTGTAGGGAAAGTCTCCTATAAAGCAGCAGGGCAACTCCAAAGCATAAGTTGACCTAAAAACCACAACCCAAGCTGTCAGGCAGGCTAGGTGGTTCCACTGAAATCGATGATAGTGACTTCCACATATTTGGGGCTGGCGTGTTTTAATCTTGGGGATATTAAGGTTACTAGTGAGCTTCAAATGCCACATGTATTTTTTTTCTGGAGCAGTTCAACTGAAGCCAGTGGGACTACTCTAAAATAAGTGACTTGAAATGGTTGTCTACCCTCATAGGGAGGTGAAAGGTTCGCTGGGCATCAGATTCCCTAATCAAATGGCCTGGGCTCCCCCTGCCACCAACCCAACTCTACAAAACGTGGTATTCTTTCTGATGCAGCAGATAGTGAAAGAGACCATATAATCAAGACATGCAACTTTGTTGCCCCATCTTTCCTGCAAATGGCAGATGACTCAAGGAGTGGCCTATGGGATGTGTTTTCTCCCGCCCCCTTCATTTGACTGCCTCCTTCACATTTAGTACAAGATCCGGCAGCAAAAATATTTTTAACATTAAGCTTCTCCCCCCCCCCCCCAGATTCCTCTCCTCGAAACAAAAGAGCCAACATGACAGAAGAGGCTATTTCAGAAGACTCTTCCAGTGCCTGCTCAGTGGAACAAACACCCAAGAAATCCAGCCCAAGACGGCATCAAACGTAAATTGTTTATTGGGTAGGTTTCCTTTCCTGATAGCATTTAGTGAAATCTCTACAGATGGCAGAAAATGAAGGATGCATAATGAGAGCACCTCAGTACCGTGGATTGAGCTTATTGGTAAACCTTTGCAAATTAGTCAGTGCAATTTTGTCAAGCTGAGGGGATAATATCAGAACAGGACTCTAGTGTGTCTTTTTTTGTAATCTTAAAAACACACCTACAGCCTGATCCATACCACTTTTACTCATTGATTTCAGTGGGAGTTACAGTTTAATTAGAAAGTAACCAAAACCTGGAGAACATATTTCCAATTAGGGTTTGTAATCCTATCCGTGCTTACTGGGAAGCAGAGCTTCATTAAACTCCGTAGGACTTACTTCTGAGTAAATTTGCACATGCTTCATTTGTATTTACTGTTGAGCTGATAGCCACATTAATTAATGTGTGTACTAAAGAGATTTCAATTTCCCCCCACTGATTCTTATTCTACACTTAACTGTAATGAACAATGTTGTTCTGGTTTAATATTAATGGACATGTTCAAGCAAGGCCGTTCTCTGCAAATACTGGTTTTGTCTTCTTTTAAAATAAAGTATTTCTTCAGCTCAAATATGTAGTCTAATTTGGCTTTTGGATGTGGTAAACTTTTGTCTACCATCCTTAAAAACCTTGCAGCCCAAAACTCTTTACTCAGAAGTAAGCCCTACTGAGTTCAATAGAACTTGATAGTGAAATGAGTTTAGGACTTTGTCTTAATAGTAGTGACACAAAGCTACCTGGGGAATAAAAATTCTTAATTAAAGAGACAAGAGTATAGGAAATGCAGCCCCTGAGTAGAGTTTTTAGAGCAGTAGTATTGTAAAGAAAGTTGACAAACATGACCTACAAATGAGTAGAAAGGTTAAGCTTTGGAACCAGATACTTTTAAAGAAATCCATTCTGTTTGGGTGAGCAGGGGCAAGTGTGTAAATTCAATTGTTTCTGTCGATTTGGTTATTTGAAAGAAAAAGTGCATTAAAGAAATTGGGAGTTTGCAATTATTTTGTTTTCAGTGCTTCCCCATCCCCAGAAAACAGCCAAAATTAGCAGTGCCTCACAACAATTTAGATGTACCTACAGGTAGCCGTGCCAACTTTTGATTTGAAAAATACTGTTCCCTTGAGTGGAGTTGGTAGCAGGGCTGGGGCAGACAGAGCCAGTGCATGTCTCCCCTCCCTTATTTCTTGTCTGCTGTCATCACCTCTGTCAAAATATAGATTGCAGGTTTCTTGAAGGTAGGGACCCATCTTGATGAACATCACTGGTGTGTCTGTGTGTTTCTGTCTGTGACTAGCTGTAGTCTGAGCTAGGATGAAATCAGGCATGTGATGGGTGTTGCTTAAAAGAATCTGGAGGCTTCTATCAGAATCTGACAGAACAGAGTTTAACCTGACAAACAAATATGGTTCTATTGGATAGGCTATTAAAAACACAAAATTGGTTGGTTGGGTGAGACAAGTTATACTTAACAAGTAGTGATTTCTTAACAAGTACACAGATTTCTGCCCCACATGCAAAGTAGAACCTTGATCCACCTCTAGCAACAGTGTTGACCAACTGTGTGTTTTGATAGCCATTTGTGACTTTTTGTACCCTTAATAATGAAATGAGCTATTGTAGTCTTCACCGACTTAATGCCCGCTCTCTTCTTTAATTTCAGAATTAAGAACATTCATTTCCTTGATCTTTGAAGGCATCAAGTTCATGAAGCAAGGAAGATGCAGAGTTTATATATGAAAAAAGAAAGAAAACATATCACTGATTCTCCTCAGTGGAGAACTTGTACACGCACTGAAACAAAACAAACCCATAATTTAATAACACTAAAGTCGGGCACTCTTAAAAGAGCTGCCTCTTAAAGCATTGGATGTAGCATTCTGCAATTAAGTTTTTCCTCATTTGCTTCACTCTACTACCTGTGTATATAGTTCCTACATTATGTAGCACATAAACCTCTCCTTGCGCCCCCCCCCTTTTGGGGTTAGGTTGTTCTGGGAAAGGGTGGGGTGGTAAAAGGTGATGGGTTCAAAAATCTGCTTCCAAGATCCAGAAAGCAGAGATTTGTATGAAGAGAAGCAGCATATGTGTTTATTTCTTAAAGATGTACTGTCCCTATTAATGGAATCTAAAAATCAATGTTAACACTGGCTACAGCAGATTGATAGAATTTGCTGGTGAAATTTCTACTTATTCAGAGCATGTTTCAGTGGGAAGTTTGCCTATGCTAAATCCCACTAAAATGAATGGCAGTTGTGGAAGACATCAAGCTCACAGCAAGTGCAGAAGAATGTTCCATGGAATTGTGCCCTAGACTTTATGGAGGAACTGTGTTTCCCTTATGTAGCAGCATAAAGAGTCCTGCTCCTGCTCCAGGACCCTTTAAGTGTTCAATTCTATTTCTTTTTATTTTTGCCACCTATAATATATTACTATAAATGATTTCAAAAGTAATTTATAAATAAATCATCTGAATAGAATGGAAGGAAAATTAGTAAAACCCTGAACTTCAACCTTTCTTCATCTCACTCACGTCCCTGATGTTCATGGCTGGGTAAATGAAAGGAAAACTACATCTTTAAACAGTATTTTTTACATTGCCTGTATGTTTAAAAAATAAAGTTTTGAATTGTACCTGTGTACATAACTTTGTAAAGACACTGAGAAATTATACTAACTTATTTATGTTAAAGATTTTTTTTTTTTAATCTAGAAGATATTTTCCCATAAAGCCAAAGCGGCCTGTGTCTTGTGCATTTGTAAATGCTCTGTTTGATAGGGTGTGTTTTTTTAGTTTTTATTGGGGGGGATTTGTTTTGTTAATTAATATGGCTGTGCTTAAATGATTGCAGACTGAGCCAAGTTTAATATTTTTTTGTAATGTGTGAAAACAGTTGTCAATTGATATTGTTTTACATCAAGCAATCAATAAAGAAAACTGCCATATATAAATATATATATATATATGTTAACTAACTTTTGTTGTGTGTTTTATAAATCCTGAAAAAATAAGGAATTTCTGCCACTTCCCAAATATATACATTGGGTCTATTTTTCCTCTTCTTCAATGTGTAAAGGTGTATCCAGCCAGAGTCCCTCTCTCTAACAAGGCAAAGAGCAGCTAAGGGGGATTTACACTGGGGAAACAGTTAGTGGAGGGAAGAGCTAACCCCTCCTTAAGCCCTGCAAGCCAAGTCCAATAAATACACAAACTTCTGCAAGGTTTAAAAGATAGCAAGTAGACAGTACTATGACCATCACAGTGGTATCTCGGGTTAAGAACTTAGTTCGTTCTGGAGGTCTCTTCTTAACCTGAAACTGTTCTTAACCTGAATCACCACTTTAGCTAATGGGGCCTCCTGCTGCCAGATGTGATTTCTGTTCTCATCCTGAAGCAAAGTTCTTAACCCGAGGTACTATTTCTGGGTTAGCGGAGTCTGTAAGCTGAAGTGTCTGTAACCCGAGGTACCACTGTACACGCAGTCCTAAGTGTGTGGTAAGTTGAAAGGGATTTACAGCACAAACCTAATGCTGCCTACTCAGAAGTAAGTCTTACTGAACTCAGTTGGATTTGTTCATAGGTCAGTAGCCTAGCTCCCTACTAAATAATATGGTTTGTAGTCTGGAAGTGAAATTAAAAAAAAACCAAACCCAACCCATGTGCAAAAATGGGAGGGTCAAAAATAGTACCCACTCTAGAATCTGCTGTCCAAATAAACTGATACGTGGGGAAACCCAGCCTCACACGTAATCCCTGACCCCCTCTCCTTTGCTTAGTGCTAGTATTCTATGCTGCTGTAAACGGTAGGAGGTGAACATTCCCACAAATTACCTTCCATGGAAACAGGAAGCAGGAGTATCAGTCTTGGCTCCTAACACACTATATCCCGATTCTTAACCTAAAGGCCTTTCAATTATTTCCCAAGCAATATCATAAATACTCCCGGGTCGGTTGGTGACTAGTTGTAGCAGGTAAGACTAGCTCCCATTGCCAAAGCCGTATTTCTGGTGGGAGGGAAATGCTTCCTTGCTGTGTGCTGGTGTGGGACCCATGCCTGACCTGTGGTACAGCACAGCATAGGCGCCTTAAGACTCCAATAATTTGCCTATTTCAATGCGTTCCATGCTTATGGCACATACCATTGGCCATGGCAATTTATGCCATAATCCATCCTAGCAGGGACCTGCACAGAGAGGGATGGGAACAGGGCCTGCTGACCCTCTTGCTATGTGTCTACCATGGTGCCTTGCTGCTACTGGGAACTGGGAGTCCAGACACCTTTCCTTCTTGCCTGGGTTTGCTCCCAAATTCAGTTAAGGTCTGAACAAGATGCTAGGATTAGGATTAAAAGCAATCCAAATCTAACTGAGGCTGGGTACACACTGGTTCCCACCACTGGTTTGGGAAGCTGTGTACACAGGATGTTGTCTACAATCCACATCTATCCAGCTGTTTCTAATGGGATATTACATTTTGCTGTGTCTTCCCCTCAGTGAGCTTTGATCCAAATTGAGAAAAATAATGACCTAGCTGTGTTAAGCCAGTAATGTGTACACAACCCGCATCTGACCCATTCACTGGAAAGTTATCCCATACAAACTTAATTGAAATGATTGCTGTATTTACTTTAATTGAGTATGTGCAGAAAAAACTAGCTAGTTCATCGCTTCATATGGCAGGGTGCAAGGAAGTTTCACCATTTAGATTGTTTTACTTCAGGCACCAAAATGTCTTGCACTGCCTCTGCCAATAAATGCTTCACTGGGTAAATTTCTGTATCCCACATCATGGTTAAAGCAGCAATCCCCCAAATTCAAAAAGTCAAGGGTCCTTTATTGAACAAAAAATCGAAGCACACTTCATTCTTACATCTTAGAAAGTTTAATTTTTGAACATTTGCAAAAGCATAAAGACTACCTGCCAGACCCCTATGAATCACTATTCTGGGGATGCCACTTCTCAGGGCAGATAATGGCTACATCTCTGCATCAGAAGTGACTGGATAATCTAATAGCAGCCAATACAAAGAGATGAGACAAAACCATCCATCCTCCAAATGAGTCCAGTTAAGAAGGGTATAGGACTAGAATAAACTAGAGGTGTAGCAAGCAGCCTTCTCTAAAGGTTGATATCTTGGTTATACAAATTCATTTGTAATTTATTTCTCATGGCACTCTGGCAGTTTCCTTGAGCTCAGAATTTAGTGCAATTAAAAGCGCGGGAAGGGGGGAGTGCTAGTGAAATGTTAGCAATCACATAAATTCTCCCCTTCCAAACCAGTAGGATAGGCTAGTTGATGACCAATCCTGTGTGAGAGGCAGGGAAGAAAAGATCTCCCAGGGTACAAGGCTGGGAGAAGAAAGGGAAGCTCCTAGGTGAGAGCTGGGAGGGCTCACCTTTTTCTGTGTGGAATAAGAGTTAAGATCTACCTATGAGAGAGAACTTTGCATCTCTATCTCTCTCTCTTTTATGTTTTTATTTTTGTTTAGATTAGTTTGTCTTTAATATATTATGAAAAATCTCAGTGAAACTTTTTTTAATAAAAAAAAATCAGTGCACTACATGCTGGCAGAATAAGCTTTTCTAAAAATGTTTTTTAAAAAACCCTTGGCACTTTTGAAATCATTTCACATCCAAGTTATTCAGCCTGAAGCACTCAACTGTGCTCAATTCACCATGCTGCACAGTGGATTGAGAAAGAAGTTGAACCTAGCCAGCATTCACACTTTGCATTTAATTTTAAATCACCATTATGAAAACAACCATCTAAGGAAAGCATGCATTTCTTTGGAGGCATACATGATCCTGTAGAAACAGATGACTTTCAGATGAAGAAACCCAAAACAGAGAAAACCCAAACACCACCACAGGAAGAGAGCAGTGAAGGAAAAAACACACACAAAGCAACTAACATACAAATAACCAACCAGAGACTGGAGGTGAAACTAAGGACTTTTTGGGTGCCTCTAAACTATTCTATAACTTGGCAGTACCTCTGCAGAGCACAGTTATAGCCCTGGGACCATAATTGTATCTGTTCAGTCATAACTTGGGCTGCTTCACATGTGCACATTCATCACAGTGATTGTGATGATCAAAAGCACACAGTGAACCTTCAGTGTTTGAAACGCAAAGCTTTCAAGCTTAGGCCTCACATGCAGTAAAATAAGGTAGTGGAGCCCTGAGGAGGCAGAACTGTGGTGTTCTGACTGCAGGTGTGTCTTACAGTTCTGAATGCTTCCCTATGTTAGAAAACAGAACAAAAACAAACGCCAAATGCTAATAATAATAATTTTATTATTTTATTATTTATACCCTGCCCATCTGGCTGGGTTTCCCCAGCCACTCTGGGCAGCTCCCAACAGAATATTAATATTAATAATAATAAAGCGATAAAACATCAAATATTAAAAACTTCCCTAAACAGGGCTGCCTTCAGATGCCAGAAGGCCCTCAGAGCTGGACGTCAGTGAACGATGGGGATGGAGATGCTCCTTCAGGTATACAGGACCGAGGCCGTTTAGGGCTTTAAAAGTCAGCACCAACACTTTGAATTGTGCTTGGAAACATACTGGGAACCAATGTAGGTCTTTCTGGACCAGTGTTATATGGTCTTGGTGGCCATTCCCAGTCACCATCTAACTGCCGTATTCTGGATTGGTTGCAGTTTCCGGTGTTAGGATATAGTTCCGTTCCACCTTAAAAGGGAACAGGCATGACTGTTGTGTGTCACATGCCTTTTTACATCCAGCACAGTCTGCTGGGAACTTCCATTTGTATGTAGCTTTTGTTTTCTTCCTGTTTGCTGGACACAAAGGGAAGCAGACATGTTTTTCCTTTGTTCCTGAACTATGCTGAATAAACGCCTGTAAATAATGCTTACACATGTCTCTGTCTGCCACTTCCATTGTGAGAAGATTTATTCACTCTGCTGATAGAGCGTGCCAAGTCTCTAAAGGTATCTGAGGCTTGTGTCGCTGTTTGATGCTGTTCCGAGAACCAGAGATCACCCGGCTGCCGGCCAGTGGCTGGAGCCAGCTGGGGGCCTGCCTAATGCCCCCATCTCCCCGGCAGCATCCCAACATCTGGGTCACCTTCAGAGGTAGCCCCACATAGAGCGCATTGCAATAGTCCAAGTGGGAGATAACTAGAGCATGCACCACTCTGGCAAGACAGTCTGTGGGCGGGTAGGGTCTCAGCCTCCGTGCCAGATGGAGCTGGGAGACAGCTGCCCTGGACACAGAATTGACCTGCGCCTCCATGGACAGCTGTGAGTCCAAAATGACCAGGCTGTGAACCTGGTCCTTCAGCGGCACAGTTACACCATTCAGGACCAGGGAGTGTCCCCACCTGCCCGCCCCATGTTTCCCCAAAACAGTACTTCTGTCTTGTCAGGATTCACCTTCAATCTGTTAGCTGCCATCCATCCTCCAACTGCCTCCAGACACTCACACAGGACATTCACCGCCTTCACTGGTTCTGCCTTAAAAGAGAGGTAGAGTTTGGTATCATCCGCAAACTGATGAACACCCAGCCCAAACCCTGATGATCTCTCCCTGTGGCTTCATATAGATGTTAAAAGGCATGGGGGAGAGGACAGAACCCTGAGGGACCCCACAAGTGAGAGCCCAGGCGTCCGAACACTCATCCCCCAACACCACGTTCTAGACACGACCCAGGAGGAAGGAGTGGAACCACTGTATAACAGTGCCTAAAAAATCACTGCAACCGCCCCCCCCCCCGCTCACATGACTTGGGTTACTGTGCATAAGAGAAACCTGGTGGACAAACAGCGGCAAGGACGGGCCCATCTGTTTTATCCAATCAAGTCTCTGTTACACATGCCAGGTCAAGTCCTCCATCCACGATCAGGTCACTTACTGGAAATATAAAAGCACAGTATGGTACAAGTTGGGCTGCATCTCTCTGATAAGCTCAGGTAGTTTTATTAATAATACTTGCAAGAATGTTTTCCTTCCTTTTCTTTAACATGAGTGCACATTCAAAAATAGCACTCCCTGCACCTGGAGTCTGAAGTGGTACAGTCCACTCTTCCCCCTCAGGATTCTACTGTGAGTCTCACCTATGTAAATAGTCCAGGCCATAGTGAGGTCTGGTCTTCCCCTTTAGCAGCCAGTTACAGGGCAGACTTTGGTCTTTCAAATTTCAGTGGCGCCCTTGCGAGGCCTCCAGTCTCTTGCTTTCTGTTCTGCTCAGTCCACTTCATCGTAGCTGTGACGCCCTGCATTGTTCTCTAGGCTCAGCGTCCAGTGCAGGGGAACCAGTTGCACTGCCCCAAATCTGCCTCTGTTATTTGGGGATTGGTTCACAAACACCTGCAATATCCTGAAACAACACAGGGAGCCTTCATGGACAGAAAAGGCTCCCAACTGCAAAAGCTACAGCTGGGCACAAAGAAGCTGTTATGGGCTGCATGATAATGGGAACAGGGCTAAAAGTGAGGCCCTTTAAACTTGTGTTGCTCTTTCACACGAGTAATGCCTCAATAGGGAATCAAGGAACATCCATAAATGTGTTAATCAGTGATGGGGTGCATGTCCCATGGCAGGCTTGGAAAAAATGAACTCTGTCTCAAGAACTCAGAAAAGAGCTTGGTTTATTCTAAACTCTCTTTGGACTCTGCCACCCTAATGATGTTGTTGGGAGTATGGTGGGATCTGACCCTTTTCTCGCCTGCATTGAGCTTCCTGTGCCCACTTTCCCTTAGTTGCTGCTTTGGCAGCAGGGGGATGGAGCTCAGTGGTTCATAGTTCAGTGGCAGAGCACCTGCCTTGCATGCAGAAGGTCACCGGTTCAACTTCTGGTATCTTCAGGTAGGGCTGGGAGAAGATCCATCTGGAATCCTGGAGAACATCTGTCAGCATAAACAGTGCTACATTAGATGGACCAATTGTTAGATCAATCAGTGGAAGGTCTCCCCCTCCCTCAACACCACATGGGATGCTACTAGGTGTAAAGAGCACTAGACCTAGACAGGGCCGTCTTTAGCATATGCACCGCAGGGGTGCAAAGATCCGCCCAGTGTCCCCAAATTAACTTTTATTATGCCTTATGTAACCATTATCATTTGAGGAATAGCGCTCATGCCTGCGCGGCTTCAAAAGGAGTTTTTTTGGGGTTTTTTTTATTTAAAACCAGCTTTTCTAAAGACGACAAAGAACACACTGGGAGTCGGTGTAAAGACTCCATGCATGCGCTCACGGTCGTAGGGAGGTGTCTGAAAGATGAGGTGGGTGGGCATTGTGCGCATGCGTGGGAGAGCCATCTTGTGGGAGCAACCTTATTTCTAGAGGAGCTGGGAGGGCCCTTGCGAGCGTGCATATACAAGTCCTTCTTCTGGACCCTGTGCACGCTCCTGTTGCTAGATAGGCACGTTCTCTTTCTGTCTGTCTCGCCCTCTTTCCTGCCACTCCCCCTCTTCCCGGCTTTGGTGTGCGAGACTTCTCAAAGAGCTCTCCCTGTACCAGCATTAGCAGGCAGGTGGTACGAGATCAGTCAACTCAAAGGTGCCGCTGACCCCGCTGTCCCATAGCAGCCAGTGGCGTAGTGTGGGTTGTCAGCACCCGGGGCAAGGCAAGTAATTTGGGCCCCCTAACCCGTGGATTTGCGCCCCCTAACCCTAACCCCCAGATGTTGCGCCCGGTGCGGCCGGCCCCCCCTGCAAATGGCACATATTCAAATGGCACATATTCACACAACCATTAAAAGTCTTGCCAACTTTTTCAAAATAGGTCCCTGCTTATATGGCTTTAACAGCAGCAAGATCTGTAAAGATTAGCAGGGGAAATTCTTATCTCCATGCCATGAAAGCTTCACCTTTCAGCAGATCAAGCTACAATTAAGGACATGCAGGCTGGCCAGAATGGCTTTTTTCCTGATCTAACCCTACTCCACCCACCTAGTCACTAAAACAAACTACCAGGAAGTGTTCTTATCAAATTCACATTACCTTTTACCTTATCGCATTTTACTGATAGGATAAGATGGGGGTGTTCCCAACTATGCTGCCCTGGCTGCCCTAGAAATAAGGTGGGATACACAAATGTGATGGGGGACATGGGTGGCGCTGTGGTCTAAACCACTGAGCCTAGGGCTTGCTGATTGGAAGGTCGGTGGTTCGAATCCCCGCGACAGGTGAGCTCTCGTTGCTCGGTCCCTGCTCCTGCCAACCTAGCAGTTCGAAAGCACGTCAAGTGCAAGTAGATAAATAGGTACCGCTCCGGCGGGAAGGTAAACGGCATTTCCATGTGCTGCTCTGGTTTCACCAGAAGCAGCTTAGTCATGCTAGCCACATGACCCAGAAAAACTGTCTTTGGACAAACGCCAGCTTCCTCAGCCAGTAAAGTGAGGTGAGCGCCGCAACCCCAGAGTCGTTCGCGACTGGACTTAACTGTCAGGGGTCCTTTACCTTTACAAATGTGATGAAGTAAACCATTCCAGCAGACCAACCATCCCTTGTTATGTCTGGAGTCCTCTCAAATGACTAATGTGAACATATAAATAGTAAAACCATTTCCACAAAGTTCTAGTCTACTCTCTTTGTCCTTTCTATTTTATCAAGAAAGAATACTTTTCAAAGATGGGTTGAGGGGAAAGCTTGTGGAGCTGTAAATATCAGCAATTGCTTCCTGAATGTGTGGGGGAATATGTGACTACAGTGGTACATACACTTCAGGTTACATACGCTTCAGGTTACAGACTCCGCTAACCTAGAAATAGTACCTCGGGTTAAGAACTTTGCTTCAGGATGAGAAGAGAAATCGTGCGGTGGTGGCGCAGTGGCAGCGGGAGGCCCCATTACCTAAAGTGGTGCTTCAGGTTAAGAACAGTTTCAGGTTAAGAACGGACCTCCGGAACGAATTAAGTACTTAACCCGAGGTACCACTGTACTGGCATCTACAATCACACCCATATGGGCATTTGAGTAAACCCCACTAAACTCAGTAGGACATATTTTGGATAAATATGCGTAACATTGAGTGACAAGCTGTGGGTGTGTCTGTCTCCTCTGGCACTGGCTCCTGCTCAGATGGGCCCCCACTTTGAGGTTTTCTACCTCAAGTGGTATATAAATTTAAGAAAAATAAATAAATGCATATCCACCAGTTCTGCTTATACAGTCATACCTCGGGTTGAAGTAGCTTCGGGTTGAGCATTTTCAGCTTATGCTCCGCAGCGACCCGGAAGTAACGGAAGGCGTTACTTCCGGGTTTTGCCACTTGCGCATACGCTCAAAATGATGCCATGCGCATGCGCGGGAGCAGCGAATCGCGCACGTGCAGACGCGGGTTGTGTTCACTTCAGGATGCGAACGGGGCTCCGGAACGGTACCACTGTATCGCATCTACCTTCAGTTAAGAGGCTGCTCAGTGCCGCAAGTACCCATTTCTACAACCCCACCCCATTGGACAAGTAATCACAGGAGTAGCAACTTTTAATAATTCTGTAATGAAAAAGTGAAATCACACAATTTAAAACTATGTCAACAGGTTGCCCTGCCTTTTGACACCCCCCCCTTAAGCTTCCCTGGGTGACCTTGGGCCCGTCACTCTCTCTCAGCCTGGCTCACCTGCTGGGGTCGGGGTGAGGATAAAAGGGGGTTCTGGCCAGGATTGGGGGTCCCTCTCGCCCTACCCTCCAACGCAGGCAGAAAACCACCCTGTTTCCTCGCCCCCATTTCCGAATGGGCTCTCGGTCGCCGCTGCACAGCTCAGGTCTTGGGGCTCTGCTTCGAAAGGGGGCAGAAGCAGCCCGCAGTGATTTTCTCTAATACCCCCCCCCCGCTTCCCTCGTCTTCCTGCCAGGAGTCCAAGGCGCCCCCGTTTCCTGGGCTCGAGCCCGAAACGGAGGCGAACCGAAGACCCCCAAGCGCCTCTTTCCTCCAGGCCACGTTTCCTTGAGAAGGCCCCTCACGGAGCCGCCGGCCACGAAGCGCCCACAAGACGCCGCCGCCCCGCTCGTTACAGTCACCCCCCCAAAAAAAAACCCCGGGGATCCAAACATTGCTTCCTGCACCGTCAGCGAAAAGAGCAGACCCAGGTTGGCCTGGAAGGTCTGGAAGGGGGAAGAGCAGCGCTGCTCTTTAGGCAAGGAAAGCAGAGTCGCCGCCGGGAAAGAGACAGATCGCGCCAAGCGGGGCTTCGGGAGGGCCGAGCGGGGAACAAGCGCCCCGGGCCTGAGTCTCGCGCATCAGCCGCCAACCAAATGGGACGCGGGGCGGCCGAGAAGGAGCTCAGAGGAGGGCACGCCGGCTCCGAAGTAAGCCCCATTGGAACCAGCGGCGCTTACTCCCGAGTAAACTGGGCTGCCCTCTCGGGCTGCGTGGGGCGCCCCGCCCGGCTTGGGAGAAGGGCCGCGAAGGCGAGAAAGCGGCCGCGCCTCCCGCCCAGTTCCCGCTTCCTCGCCTCGAGCCGAGAAGCCTTTTCTGCCTTTGCGCTTGAATCCCCGAGCGGGGGGGGGAAACGCCGGAGCGAGGAAGCCCGCCCCTCCCCCCCCCCGGCCTGAAAGGAAAATTCAAAAGTCAAGCGGAGGCGGAGGCGGAGGAGGAGGAAGGCGGCGCAGTTGTAGCTCTTCGCCGCCCCGCGCAAAAGTGTAACAACAAGCATGGCGTTTACAATGTGGCCCAGCGGAGCCGCCGCCGCTCCTCCTCTTCCTCCTCCGCTCCCTCACCCCGCGGATTTCATGGGTGGGATTTTTATTTCTGAAGACGATCTTTACAAGCGGACCCGCCGCCCCCCGACGGCCGAGCTGCCCGCGCTGCTTCTCTGCTGGGGCGCGCGGACTAAACCCGCTCTCGGCGCCCTCGGCCAGCCAGAGGACCGCGCACTTGGCGGGCTTACGAGTCGGACACCGGCCCCCTGGAGAGGTTCGAAGAGCCTTCCTCCCGCGCAAGCCCGCGGAGCGAGGGGCAAGCCGGATCAGCCGACGGGGAGCTGCCGCCTCCCGCTGAACTCAGCGGAAGCTCTTCCCGACCTCGAGTAAGCCTGCTGCCTCGCTCCCCGCCGGGGGCCACCCGGGGCGGCGCCTCCCACCCGCCAAGCGGGGCCGCGCCGCGAAGGGCCTCGGGCAGCCAGGGGTCCCGTCCGCTCGCCTGCCCTTCCTTGCTCGCCCATTGGGCCAGGCAGGCAGTTTGCAGGGAAGAGAGCGGCCTCCTCCCTCAGCCCCGCCGCCGCCGCCCCGGCCTGACGGGCTTGCCGAACTGCGAATGGCAAGATCGTGGCCGCCTCTGCTTCGCTCTCGGACCGACGCCGCCCGAAGCAAAGAGCCAGGCCCCGCGCGAAGGAAGCAAGCAAGCAAGCGGCGCTGGTGCGTCGCCCGGCCGGGAGAGAAGCCGAAGCGCGGCCGCCTCCGAGCCGCTGATTTGGCCTTGCCGGCTTTGGGGGCTGGCCAGAGCCCACGTCCTCGCGTGGAACTTAGTCAAATCGACTTCCGGGGGATTGACTTCCCAGCCAGACCGACTTTGCCCTGATAGCAACATACCGCGCGTCGTTTGGAGGGTCACAAGTGTGCAACCCTGAGATGGGAAGCTCAGTGTGTTTCTGCAGACGCCTGTCATTGAGGTCAATGGTGCTCACTCACATAGGTTCCAGCTAAATCCGAACCACAAATTCAGAATTAAAATAAGTTACAATCAGAGGTGCCTGGCTGTGTGGTTTGCAATTTGAAAACAATCCCAATAGCATTATTTCCAATGCTTTACATTTTTATGAAGAGAAGAGAAACAAAATAAAGCTTCCCCATAGAAAGAACCCACAAGCAACACATACACAATATATTGAACAAACATAAAAAATTGTCTCGTACTGAGCAGGTTGGTGCTCCATCTAGCCTAGAGCTGACACTCTAACTGACAGCAGCTTTCCAGAATTTCTCTCCCAGATTGATAACCTGAAATCCTTTGGCAGGAGATTGTGTGCTGTGCAGCTGTGGGGCTCCCCCTTTCCCCTCACCTTTCCCCATCCCCCTGACTCAACACCCATGTTAACTCTCTGCATGGACAGTCCTTTTTTGCAATGTTCTATGCAGGGGTGATTATGTTATGGAATATGGGACAGGGTTCCAATGCCATGTTATTTCCTCACAGCTGTTGCCCCTGCTCCCTCATTTCTACCATGGATGGCAAGCAAGGAGTGTGTTGCAGGGGTGGAGCGACCAAACAGTTAATAATTTGGTGGATGTGGAATTTCTCCATGCAAGAAAGTGGCTGGAGCGATAGAGAACAATCAGAGCAGAAGGTAGTAAGCTTTGTTATGATTGGGTGAATGGCCGACAGGTCAGAAAATCTGTGTTTGTTGGTTTTTAATTCAAGTTGACAACTACCCTTTTGACTGGACTTGCACCTGTGTTGTTAACCGCAGGCTGACACACTGAAATTTAGCAAGAAAGCTAAAGGTGAAAGCTTCTTTTCCTCCTCTTCTTTTTCTTCACAAAATGTGCAAGTGACTGATGGAATTCAAGATATAGTGATGACCACTGGCTTACATGACACATATGAAACAACAGAGAGATAGAGATTCATGGATGGTGGGTCTGTCAGTGTTGGCGGGGGGGGGGGGGGGTAGGGCGGTGGCCATCTGTTCAGAGGCAGTTTGCTTCTCAGTGCAGACAAAAGGGGTTGGCCATTGCCTTTATGCGCTCCTTGGGAGCGACCAGTCACACCTCTCACCTTGCTGCCATCAGAAACAGAACAATGGTGGCCTTCTAGTCAATCTGGCAGGGTGGTTAAAAGAAAGTTTATAAAGGCATAGAAAAAGACATTAGAAAAGAGATGGCAATTCTAGTTCCAGAAGGATGTGGTGAAATGTAGAGATAAATGTGGTGGATAAAAGGCTGAACTCCAGAGCGATAACTGCCTGCTTCAAATCTCACCTATATTCAAGAGGTGGTCTCGGGCCAACTCTAGCCTCAGCTTCTTGCAGGGCCATCATGAGGTTGTAACAAGATAGTGTTTATCACACCCACTGAACACTGTAAAGCATTATATAAATTATGATGCTGGTGATAATCTTTTTAAAAAACCTGTGACAAAAATAAACATTTTCTCTCTCCTTCAAAGCTACTCAATTCAATACGTGGTTTAGGTTGTGTAGAACTTCCAAGTAAGCATGGAGACGATCAGGCTGCACTACAAAAAACAAGGCAAAGCAAAAAACTCATCGCCCCCAGATATCTCTCCCTCCCATCACCTTTCTAAAAAGGCATTACAATTAACAATCAGTCAACATGGGAGTTTCCCTCTGGCTTACTGAGGGTTTCCCAAGGATGGGGAGTGGTGAGTAAGATCTAGCAACGGACAGAGGATTCTTCTCTGTGTAGTAATTAAAGAAGCCTCTTTGTCTGCTTTACTATTTCTGCCTTTGAAATTTATTTCTTTAATCTCATTCAGATCTATTGGGGGGGGGATGTGGCCATGGCGCCGGACTGGAACGCAGGAGGGAGAACCAGTTTCCTGCAGTTCAGACTTGCTGCCTATCCTTTGGGCATGTTGCTTAAATTCTGGATGGTGCCCTAGTTTTGCTTCTTCATCCTCTAAGGGCACTTTTACCCGAACACCAAAAGAATATTTTCTATTTCTCATGTTTAGAACGAGAACTTAAAAATGACAGTGGCTAGAATATACATTGCGCATAAAAGCCATTTTAAGCCAAAAGCAGATAATGAGCAACAAGTGCAGAGGCCCTTAGAGGCAGTGGAAGCTGGAGAGGTAGTTTGCTAGGTGAGGTAAAATGGCCTGCTGCCGAGGTGTAGCAGGGGAAGGTGGGATGTGCCTTCTTGCTTTTACCTTTAGGCAGTGGTAGGTGGAGGCATGGCGTGCTGCAGCCAGCACCATGGAAGCACATGTTGCTGAGTGGATAGTCCTTCTGATGGTGGAGGTGTCCTATGCTGGGACAACTGTGTACTTGCACCATGCTGGCTCCAGCATCCACCCCCCTTGCAACCCTCTGGTCTCAAAACGTAATGACAGGGAGCCAAGGGTTTGGTTTTTTAAAATACACATTTTAGGGTACAAGCAGTAGGTTTGCATAAAAGTTTTTAATTTGTTAAATAATTTATTTCCTTTTTTAAATTGAGCATTTGTCAATAATCAATAATCCTCATACATGTCTATTCATTGGCCAGAGCATAGTGAGCAGTTGGAAACAACTTGCTCATTTTACAGTATATTCCTCTAGGGAAAAAGATTAGAGACTGAAGCTGCAGTCCTAGCCACACTCAGGGCTTCCACTTCCACTTGTCCTGTGCCTAGAAAGCATGGATCTGAGAGGCTTCCCGCTTGTCCCAAGTTTCCAAGCCGTTTTGTGGCTGTCCCCCACTTCCCACAGGGACGCCCCTGTTTACCTCTGAATCAGAACAAATGCCAATCTGCAGAAAAAGTGATTGACGTTTGTTCTGATTCAGGGGTAAACAGTGGGTTTTCTCAGGGGAAAGCAGGGCAAGTGGAAGTGTGGCTGAGTCCTCACTTAGAAGTGCGCATGCATCTGACTAGAATGGCACTGTAAATACATAATCCTATTAAAGTTCATTTACTTGCTGCATTTAAATCTCCCTCCTTTCCCCGTGGAACTCGAAGTGGCACCCACAGGGTACCCAGGCAAATCTCCCAGCCAGGCACTGTGCAGACCCAGAGATGCTTGCCTTTAGTAAGACTGTGGCATCATATGCCTTCAATGCATGCCCTCGGTGCAGTTCTCTTAGCTTCAGTATGTGAGTGTAGTAGTAGAAGAAGAGTTTGGACTTGATATCCCGCCTTTCACTCCCCTTAAGGAGTTTCAAAGCAGCTAACAATCTCCTTTCCCTTCCTCCCCCACAACAACACTCTGTGAGGTGAGTGAGAGTAAAGTACTTCTTTAACATTTCCAAATGATTTATGATTATACTATGAGGCATCCTGGCTTTGCTGGTTAAATGAGTGTTTTATATTGAAGAATATGCAGATTTTGAACCTAGAAGGACATGATATTAATTTTGGCTGGCACGCATACTTGTGGTATGGGAAACTGGAATGCATAAAGGTTTCATCAATTATATAATTAGGAAAAATTATGTAGAGTATGGGATAAATATAAAAACTTGCTGGAAAATAAAACACCAATGTGACTCTCACCAGTAGAAGCCATAGCAGTAAGGGGGGGGGGAGGATTTATGGAAGAGGAAAGGACTGGTAACCTACAGGGAGTTGTTAATAGAGGTGGAAGGGGAGGTTAGACTAAAGAAGTATAAAGAAATAAGTGGAATATTAACAAGTTGGCTACAATATTGCCAACTAAATGAGATATTTAAGATTGATAAGAAAAATGGTTTTACAATTCAAACCTCTCAATTAGAAGACCTACTAAAGAATAATAATAAAAAATGTATAAAATGTATAAATTATTATTAGAATGGCAAACAAAGGATGAAATGGTCACATCATCAAGGAGAAACTGGGCAATGAATATAGGTCATAATATTGACATTACAGTATGGGGAAGACTTTGGAATGGAGATTTAAAATTCACAGCTTGCTATGCATTAAAATAAAATTACATGAAGATGATGTATATATCAGCTTTGCCCTTGAGCCAGTGCCACCGACTGGGCTCAACCACTTCAGCCCCGACTGGGCCTGGCGAGCTGGGGTAGCACTTCCAGAGACCTTCTTCTGCAGGAACAGGTCTAAGTGCTGTGGACTCACAACTGAGAGCTGTGAGCACCGAACTCACTTCCAGAAGACAGCCATGCACAGCAGAGTATAGCAGAGCATAAATCACTCGGACGATAGTGCTGAAGAATATCTTCTTTTATTCACTACAGCTACTGTACTATACAAAATATATACAAATGGAGACGCTGGACTGCACTGAGTGTTACAGCTGCTTTCTGCAGCGACCTTATCTACACAGAGATAACACTCAGTCTCTCCCTCTTTGAAGTGAGGCTGGAGCGGAATAAGTACTGGAGCACAATCCGCCCCCTCCTCTCTAGAAAATCAGCAGATTCTTGCAATGGGAGGGGTGAAATATCCTCAGTATAGGTGGTATTTGACGCCTAGTAAGCTAGCTAAAATGTATAAGTCTGAATCCAATATTTTTTGCAAATGTTAAGAGAAAGAAGGTACCTTTGTTTATATGTGGTGGTTTTGTAAGATTGCAAAAGCCTTCTGGGAAATGATAATGAATTGGAAAAAAATGTTGAAAATAACTTTTGTTAAAAAACACACACCCTGAAGCCTTCCTTCTAGGTAAACTTAGAGAAGAGGTGCTGAAAGACCAGAAAAAAACTATTTATGTCTGAATGATATATGCCCAAAATTGGAAAGAGGAACTGGCTCTAAAGGAGATGACTGGCAATTAAAACTGATGGAATACGCAGAGATGGCGAAACTTACCAGAAGATTAAGAGATCATGATGATGGATTTTTTAAATAAAAGAATGGGGGAAATTTATTGAATATATGAAAGCAAATTGTAAACAATTAAGAACATTAGC